GAAAAACAAATTTGGATATTTGAACAAAAAAGGGGTAATTGGGGTACGTTCTGTTATATAAATTTTCATGTCGTAATATACAAGTTTTCCTTTAAAATATTTATATAAATTGAAAATAGAACTGGACCAAATACTGGTCCTTGGGGTACTCCTAATTGTACTATTAAATCGGTACTTAATTCATTTCCTATTTCACTCACTTTTGTTGAAAAACCAGTTTCATAAATATGGATAACTAACAATCTTTAATCTAAATTCATATAACGTTATAATTTATTTGCATGGCCATTTTGAAATTTTCGCTTCTTAAGACACATACTTATTAAGGAATTTATTAAAAAAATAATCTATTTATATTCAAAACAGAAATCGTGTATATGAAATTTTAGTTTAGGAATTACCTCCTTCATTATTTACATGATATTAAGGAACACCCTGTAAAATGGGACTTACATTTTTATACATAAGAGGTATATACGTATATATCTTATTAAAATATCGACCATAAAAATTGATATATTGTACCATTATTACTTTCGTTAACAAGAAATATTTTCAAGAAAAAAATTGATTGTTCTTTGCACGAAATAATGTAATTTGGATATCAGATAATATTGGCACTCAAAGAGGCTCTGTTAATATCTAATATATCTTTTCTCCATTGGTGTTTCAGTTAGATATTTGAAGTTTTCCAGCTTCTGGAGTCTAAAGTCATTCAGTCTAAATCTATTCTGGGTATTAAAAATAATAAGATGATGATAATTAAAATGTTTTTTCGTTTCAGACTGTTTCCAGAAATAGTGATTAAGAATTAAAAAAAATTGAAAAATTATAATATAACCAAAAATGTTATTATTAATTACAATTTATACAAAGTAACTCAACACATTTATTCATAATATTTAACGCGACTAGGAAGAGTTAATAATTTATCTCAGACTTTGTAAATTAACTATTTATTTTAGTAATAAGAATAGTTTTAAAAACAACACACGTCTATGTAAAAATTTGTTTAAGTAAGAGTTAAATAAACTTAAACATAAACGTGATAAAACAAGTGAAAATAAATACGCATACTTTCAAGTTATACATTTGGCAGGCAGTCTATTTTCGTCTAATAATTAAATAAGTACGCAAGATTACCCATAGTCTCGATTGTGAATAGAATAAAAATAAAACTTTAATTCATATTGACTTAATCAAAGATTTTTTTCTAAATAACCAATGTACGTGATAGAAACATTTTATTTTCGTGGGCACCGTTTATGCAGCTGATCAATCTATGTTTACGCATAGCATTTACATTAATAAGTATTCTAATAGAATAATCAAGATTAAAATGTTACTATTATATGACTGGCTGGTATACCTTATGCCTAAGTAGTAAGTAATGAAATATAACAGACAGTTTAGAGAGCAGTACCAATCATATAACTTCAATGCTTAAAAAATAATGAAGCAAATGGATAAACAGGAAGAATTCAAGAAATCAGTTCTGAACAGACTAGAAAATAAAAGACGATAAAAAGACGATAAAAAGACGATAAAAATACGATAAAAAGACGATAAAAAGACGATAAAAAGACGATAAAAATACGATAAAAAGACGATAAAAGACGATAAAGGACGATAAAAGACAAAATGACCCATGACCTTATTATTCTCAAATGGAACACAAATGGACTCTTATTAAAATAGCACGTATCTAAACGGTGTATCTGATAATTTCACGAAGAGACGTAACTTTATAAAAAAAACTTTAAAACGCTCTCTTGTAACGTTGTGAAAATCGAGTTACGTCACTTCGTGAGACTGGCGACGATATGATATTTTCTTCTTTACAATAATTTTTTCCTGTATTTTGTTTGTTTCAAAATATTTTGTTTTGCCTTTAGAATTACCACTTATTGAAAGAATGAAATATTTTATTAAGCGCACAATAGAATTAGAGATCAATATATTTCAAGTTGACATGATATAGTATCGTCTTTCAAGGGCCCGCGCCGCGGTACTATAGGTATAATTCGGTTCCGAATTATTATCTAAAGAAGACATCACTGGTAAATTATAAATCTAGAAAGGCCTTTTGGTATATTCACAGTGGTAGGGTGTTTGTAATATAGTAATATATTCATGTGCTTGACATTTTACAACCAAATTCAAATGTAATACAAAGTTACTACACTAGAAAATGTAATATATGTACGGACATGACATAGTTGAAGTATTTACGTTTTTAAAAAATTGAGTTCTGGAATATATTTCGGGTTTTTAAATACGTTTAAGATTCCTGCAACCCTCATTCTCAGTATAACATACTAAATTTCTGGAAATCAAAATTACTGGGATGGTAAAGAATTTAAAAATTATTAATTTAGATTAGATCAAGAGAATATAAACATTGGTATGTGGTGATGTTTTTATTGATTAAGAAAAATAATTATCAGATGGGTTAAAAAGATTGTCAGTAGTGTTGGATTTTCGTTTGAGCTGTTGTATATTAATTAGTTTGTTGAAAATGTTTATGGAGAGAAAATACTAATCAAGAAAATATAAAAAGTTAAAATTGCAAATTTTAATTTCGACATAATTATATTATAATGGTTTTATAGAGATAAACAAAGACAGAGATAAAAAGAGACAAATAGAGACCACCAGAAATAGAGGTAAACAAAGATAGGGGTAAAAAGTGATAGAGGGACATAGGTAAAGAGATGTGAACAGAGATTAATAGAGATAAACAGAGATAAATAGAGATAGAGATAAATAGAGATAGAGATAAATAGAGATAAATAGAAATAAATAGAAATAAATAGAGATAAATAGAGATAAATAGAGATAATTAGAGATAAATAGAGATAAATAGAGATAAATAGAGATAAATAGAGATAAATAGAGATAAATAGAGATAAATAGAGATAAATAGAGATAAATAGAGATAAATAGAGATAAATAGAGATAAATAGAGATAAATAGAGATAAATAGAGATAAATAGAGATAAATAGAGATAAATAGAGATAAATAGAGATAAATAGAGATAAATAGAGATAAATAGAGATAAATAGAGATAAATAGAGATAAATAGAGATAAATAGAGATAAATAGAGATAAATAGAGATAAATAGAGATAAATAAGCAGAGATAAATAGAGGAAAACAGAGATACAAAGAGATAAACAGACGTATACAGAGGTAAACCGAGATAAACAGAGGTAAACAAAGGTAAACCGAGATAAACAGAGGTAAACAGAGATAAACATAGGTAAACAGACATAAACAGAAATAAATAGAGATAAACAGAAATAAATAGATGTAAACAGAGACAAACAGAGGTAAACAGAGGTAAACAGAGGTAAACAGAGGTAAACAGAGATAAACAGAGATAAACAGAGATAAACAGAGATAAACAGAGATAAACAGAGATAAACAGAGATAAACAGAGATAAACAGAGATAAACAGAGATAAACAGAGATAAACAGAGATAAACAGAGATAAACAGAGATAAACAGAGATAAACAGAGATAAACAGAGATAAACAATAATTAACAGGGATAAACAGGGATAAACAGAGATAAACAGCGGTAAACAGATATAAACAGAGATATACAGTGACAAACAGAGATAAACATGCAGAGATAAACGGATATAGCGTCATTATTAATTTGAGACAAACAAGATTAAAAAAGAGAATATTTGGGCGAATCAAAGAAGCATTTTAAAATTGAATAAAATCGTGAATTAGAATTGTATAAGCAGCCAAGTGTAACAGTGGTAATTGCATCTCAAAAAAAGGAAGGATTAGGCATTTGGTACTATTGGTACGATTGTCATATACGTGAGTTTAGCAAGAAAGGCTCTTTTTGAGATAGAAGGATGATAAGACAAAGAAGAGGCCGGCCAAAAAATAAGTAACTGAAAACTGTTTGTAGTAGAAAGCTTAAGATATTTGTAATGGTGGTATTTACTGTTTGTTTAGATCCCATCCAATGGACATAATAAAAATTCATACAGTACTAATAAATATACAGCTTTTTATACAGAGTATTAATGTATTTTATGAAATTGAAAATAATGTAAATAGAATAGTATTTGTAAGTCTGTGTTTTATCTTGGTATGCCAGAGTTACCTGTTTTTCCAGGTTGCTGGGAACCCTGTACACTGATTATGTAACTTATATGATCTAGGCTAGAGAAACTTATTTTAGTAGGTGACATTCAGATTCATGACACAATGAGATTTCATGCGTTCTAAACACGAACCATTTGATATCGGGCCAAGCCGGAAATCGTCTTATTATATGCTTGACAAAATAAATACAATTATATAGAGATACATTTACTTTAATAAACCTAAATACTATTTTGGTGACACCTGGATTTTTGTCTATTTCGGTTACGTGCGATTGAAAAGTGAAAGCGCACCCACATCTTTTAATTTTCTTCTAAAATCCATAAATGTACTCGAATTTTCGAATAATAAAACTCGCAACATCTGAACGTTATTTTTTGAAAAAAAAAAAGGAGTTTAATCAGTCATTAAGGACTTAAATGGAAGGAATCTTGATACTTTATGTATACCACCACATAAATTGGTCAATTTGTGTAAAGAACATTTTTTCTGTTATTAAGTAATAGTTGTTGTTTCCAATGTCAAGATATAAAAAATAAAACTTCATTAAAAAGTAAACATCAACGGATAAAAATCAAATATGAAAGTTTCAATAATAATGTCATAATAATGACATTTATAAAATAAGTCACAAATGGTTAGTGAACAGTTTAATTACTTTTTAATTAGTTCTTAGTGAACTATTTACTTACGGTTAGTGATTTTAGTTTCAGTGGGTAATTTAGATTTTACTGTGGTTGTTTTATTGATCCATTAATAGCAATTAAAGTTTGTTTCTACCTTTTATTTGACACCTATCCAACTCAAGAAAATCAAAAACTGTAGTTTTGTATTATTAAACAATTCGATGATAGTTTTCTTTTGTTTCAGCTATATTGCAGAGAACGACCGTCGGTATTGGCCAAATGAAGATTCAGGGAGTTGCTACCTGTCAGTATTTATGCATGGCTAGGTGTGGATTGCTTTACGGATCGGTAGGTACAATCTTTTACCTTATAAAAACGTTCTAATTAATTTTACAAGTCATTAGTACCTAATTTATTTCAAAATTGACTTGTCTCACTTAAGAGGGTTCCCGAAAACATACATGATGATCTTATTATCTTTCATTTACTTATTATACGGGCTCGAGGTACTTTTTAATTATTATATCGACTTTAATTAAAAAGAAACCGTATATGGAGATAATATAATGTATATATCATTAAATTTTAAATCAGTGCTTTTAAAACGATGGATAATTCAAAAATTATACGGTTTTTAATTTCTAAACCACATTTTGATATTTGAAAGAACCTTCATTCGGAATAGTATTATCTAAGTAGGTCAAAATCAAGAAAGGAAGCTGACATTTTTGACATAAAAAAGGCAATATAATTGTGACAGACTCAAAACCGAATAGATTTGTTTTTTCAGCAATTTTTTGATATTTGGATATATGGAAATAGCACAACATGTTTCGCCTTCAGTCTAAAGAAGGTATCTTAAATTAAAAAATATTTTTTAAAGTAAAAATCCATATTAAAGTCTAATTTATATTAAACACTCCATTCCAATATATCTTTTTGCAAAGCTCAACAATCTCTAACGGTTTTTAATCAAAAAGTAAACATTTAATATGTTTAATAACATCTGGAAAATCGTCAATAATAAAAGGAAAAATAAAGAGCCCTAAATTTGATCCTTGTGGAACCCCCGACACAGCATTAAATTTACAGAAAGTGTTTCTATCGTATTTTACCACGAAATAACGATTTTGTAAATAAGATTCATTATATTTTTAGATAGTTTAAAACAATAAATGTTTTGTAGTAAAAGACTATTTTGTCAAAAGGGCCAAAGTCAATGTTTTCGTGATTGTTAATTTTTTAACTGACAGATTCTGATTCCATGCATTCATGTTACTATATAAATTGATTTTCACGTTTTCAAGTATTTGCTGAGCTATTGTATTTACATCTATTGTTAATTTCCAATTTTTTTTTTTTTAATATACATTTCGTATTTTCATACTAACCGACACTATATATATTATCGCCCGTTTTTAAATTGTGACACGACTTCTACACGGTTATTATCAAATTTAAGAACACTAACGTCGATAATATCTACATTATGAACATTTTAGACATTCTTACATCTTAATTTAGTTTAAGCCTAATATTTCATTATTTAAGTCATAAAACTTATTTATAACTATTTAATGTTGTATTAAAACCCTACGAAACAAAGGTAGGTGGCCCTCTTAATGTCTAATATATCATGTTCATCTTCTAGCTTTAATATACGTTAAATTATCTAATTGTTCTCGGTCCACCGCTAAAGAATACTCGACACGGCTGAGAATAATAAGATTATACCATTCGTTAATGTTACTTAAAACACAATCGGAGAATATTTTCAAATATCTACTTATACTATATGAATCATTTGTTCTAGAATGTACTAGATTGATTACGGCAGCGCCTAAACAACGCTTTTGGCGAATACTTTACTCAAAAAAATGTCCTAAGAGCGTCTGGAATGTTTTGCTATTTAAATCAGTTCAAGCTTAGACATCGCCGTGAGCAGATCAATATAGTTAATAATATTAAATTGGTATATGTTCATATAAATTAGTATAGTATTTTAGTATAAATAAATGAATTAGTGTATTCAGTATAAATAAATTAGAATAATAGACAGTTTAAAATAAATGTTACAATATCTAACCTTAATTAGATCCATTATTTTTTATTTTTAATCAGTGGTATATATTTTTATTAACTTTTTAAGTGGAGAATGACATCCACATGCCAAATTTTTGGTAAACATCCTTCTCCTTTAACTCTTCTTCTAATTAGATCGACTAATATTATGGTGGGTGAGTGTTTCCGGGTTTTCCTCACTGTAAGTCAAATGGCACCATCAATCATCTTTAAATCGCCCTGGAGCGCCACCGCAAATAATAATAACCGTCCCTTTCCCCGGACAAGCTCAGTTTTTGAGGTTAAAATTCACTCGTAAGAGGGTGAATTAGGGAGAGTATTATTATTATTATAATAAGCACTTGTGTTTCTTTCTTAATTAGAAAAATCGTTTATAATAGTTATTTATTAAAAAATATTGTCCATCTAACTTTGACGGTTTAATTACCTAAAATATCAACCTTCTGTGAAGGCGTTAAACATTTAACTATTAGATATATATTATTTTTATTTTATTATTTTTATTCTTTTTACATTTTTTGCAATTTTAGAATGTGATAATAGATTTCGACAATCAGATGCAGAAATCCTTTCATGGTACCCTGCCTCTATTCATACTGCAGGTGAGCTTCTCGTCCCTTTCTTAAATATGTCACTTATGTGTCTTTGTAATTGGGTACTCATGCTGAAGCACTTTGATTCACATCCACTGTACACATTCAATATAATATTTTTTTATATCTAACAAATATTTTTGGCGGTAGGCTTTTTATCGAAATCTTATTAAGGTTCTTTTATTTTAAAAAAGGGTCAATTCATTTTTTTACTGCAAAGTATAATACACAGAAACGAAAGAGAAGCCACTTCTTTCTATTATTATATTTTTTGTACCGCCAAATACAAAGACTATTTTGATTAAATACTTTATTAGATAAAGAGAAAACGATAGTGAAAAAAATGTCAATAATGTTTGTCAGACATGAAACAAAATTATTCTGTACAGACAATACTACAAGTAAGTCGGTCTCACTGTTACATAAAAAGATGCACATCCAAATATTTTAGGAGGTATTTTATACCGTATAAGGGCAACCAATTTGAGATACGAAACCCTGCCTCAGTCGGTACGTATTAAAAGTTTATATTACACGTACCTACCATGTCATAATGGTGACGTGACACCCTCTAAATTAGGTACTACCAAAATTATGTACCTTCTTTCACGCCTACATATTTTAAATTATTTACATTTTACGATACTACCTATTTTAGATAGTGAAATGCACAGAGAATAAGTTTATTTTTTTGAGAGAGAAATATTTAGAAAAGGGAATAATAATATACAGGGTGTTAATTTAAAAACGTCCCATTGGGATTATTAATAAATTATTAAAAAAGATTATCAAAAATTGCTCGAAACAGGTAGATTTTTATTTCAAATGGGACACTATCATATTATCAAATGTCATACGTCATTTCCCTCCCCTCCATCGCACTAATCAATACAATTTAAAAAGGGAAAGTACAAAGTATGAAGAGGTAATTTTATGAGGAATTTAGCGCTCTTTAGCGGAATAGAAAAACTATTACATAAGTGTGACACTTCATTTGAAAGTTAATTTTATTAGTTTTATTTTAACGCTATCTATATTCAGTGACGAATATATTGTACTGTTTCTCACTACATATGTACACGGCAGACACCCATATACCGTATATGTTCTCTGAGAGCATTTAAAATGTTGAAAGAATGAATAAAAAATACTTTCATCGTTTTTACTACCAAAGGGATCCTAAAACTAATAGTCATTTATCATTTCACTAAAACGGCTAATATTTAATCCCTTAGAGAGTAAACGAAATATGGATATTATTTCGGAATTAATTACGGATTTTATCATGACACCGGGCAATTCGATAAATTAACCATTTTTCGTCAAAAAAAATCCGATCACGAACATCTCTTGGGCATATTGCAATTTGAAAACATGCTATGTAATCGAAATACTGAAATATTTCAATTTAAAGAGGGCTTTGACCCAATAGTAAAAGAATGACTCCCGCCATGGGCACCGCCAGGGGGTACAAAGAGAAGTACAAAAGGGGCAGTTCTGATTCATCAACTAGTCTTGAATTTGAGCCTTAGTCCAATTACTATTAGTTGTTTTATGTACCAATGAAGCATTGTTCATTACAATTAAAGACGATTCATGAAGTCTTCGAAATAATTATTCTATCTCTTGTGGATATACTTTAAACATTGTTTAGAGTACCTTGTCTGAAGTGAATGGGATCTTAATTGTCCGGACGGAAACAGTTTGCTAAAACGACTACAGCTTCGCGTTTACTGGCTGTTAAGTGGGGCGTCCCTCAAGGGTCACTTATTGGACCGTTACTGTTTCTAATTTATCTAAATGATCTAGCATTTCTTGATATTTCAGCTGACTTGACATTATTTGCTGACAATACAACATTTTTATGACATTCTAAAGATTCAAACTTCCTGATTGGTATCTCGTGATCTTTTAGAAGTTAATGAGTGGTGTGAGACCAATTTTTTAAAGCTGAATACTAGTAAAACGAAACTGTTAACTTTTGAAAATATATTATCAAACTTAAAGTTGGAGTTGATAGAATGTCATGCCGACATAACATTTTTAGGTTTAAGAACAGACTCTCATTAGAAGTTTAAATACCACGGAGAGTTTGAATAAAAAGCTAGCCAGTTAGTCAGCTTAATTTGTAAAAACAAATATGCTTATATGCTAATTGCCTTTGGGTTTGCTTCTCACAAGTGTAAGGAATCTCAGACCTGATAGATCTTTGCAGTAGCACAATACGTGACCAGCAGTTTCCTCATCTTCCTGACAGAATCAACACAAGGTCTCTTCTGCCAGATCGATATTTTTGTTAAGCCCAAAATGCCCTGCCAAGGCTTAGCAAATGCTTAGTCAGTTTTGGCGATGGTCCAATAAGAACTCTATCGTGGTGAATTGTCCCATCATTCCTGAGATAATTTAACATCCAGTGCTTTGTGCATGTTAGCTGTCTTTGTGACACCACAGAAGGGTTCTGGGTTAATAAGAGCCTTAGTGGGGGTTACATATATATTAAATGATTACAATATTAGTTGGAGACCATGATATGTCGCTTTTCATGATGTAGTTTTTAGTTTTTAGATTATACCCTCTTATTTACTTATGGGTGAGCAATCTATGTAACTATAAATATCATTAGTGTAATTGTTTGATCTGAATTATCGACTGTCACAACTTTCAAAGGCTATTCTGATACAGTAAAGCCATATTTGTAAACAGAGATAGTTCTCCTATAACTCTGTGATACGTTAATATTAAGTCATACCAATTATGCTGATTTTGTTTATGGGCCATGTTTAGATGTAGACTCGTCGGCGAGGCTACAGATAATTCAAAACTCGTGCGTTAGGCTCATTTTTACATTAACATCTAGAGATCATGTTTCAAACAAATTGAATAGACGAAAACTTCATATGGATTATTATTATTATTATTATTAAAAAGCAATGTTTGTATTTATATTGTATGTCATGGAGTTTCCTAATTAAACTTGTATCCATAATATTGTTTTTATTTTTTAAGAAAGTGGTTTAAATTATAAATGATCCTAATAACTTTACGGTTCTACAGAACACGCTCCACCTGTAACCACAACTCCCTGTATATTCATTCGATATCCAGAAAAAGGTATATTTTATATCCGATTCCATATAAAAATCTCTGATAGAAATCAGTATCGCCTCCTATAGTGGACAAAGTTATACCATGTAGCACGAGAGGACAGATCTATGTACACGCGTATAACTTAGATAAGATCTAAGAGAAACAGAAGATTCAACCCCCATTATACATTCTTCTTCGTAATTTAGTGACAGCGGGATAGTGATTTTCTTTGACAAGCTTTATGTGCGGATTCCAAGATAAGAAAAACATTGGATGTTTCAATTTAGCGCGATTCTGTAATGGTCAATTATACGCATAAGCTATCATATTTCTGCCGTTAAACAGTTTTTAAATAATAATTAAGATGGTTTTTCATTTTATGATTATTATACATGCTGTCCTAGAAGTTAAATTTAGCCGTCATATATCTGCGTTACTCGCTATTTCAAATATAACGAGGCTTTGGTTTTAAATGCCCTTTTAAGACATTAAAATAATGTATGTATTTTTATTAAATTTCTTTCAAATACGATAAATAATATAGTGACCAATTATAAAGGACCCCGCAGATTCCTTATGGCAAATGGCTTTCGGTCGAATCTGCTGAATTTGATTTGTGTTGCAGTTTTTGACCTAATTAAAAATGTCCATGGTCACAATGTTCTCCTATAACTACTTTTTGTGATATAAACCTTGTTATTTTGCTGATATTCATAAATTGTTACGGTTTGATTCTTTAAGTTATTCAAGTATGCAAATATTTAAACTAAAAAAATAATTTCAAGACGTTGGTTTTAAAAGTTTTAATATTTCTCCTACACCGTATATCCTGCCGTATAAGAATGTAGAAGCACCGCAACTTGAAGTAAGGAAATGAAGAAAACAGTTTTTTCCTTTCGATTCGAGCGGGGACCAATTTATGAGATGATTCTGATAATCTTAAGCTATATGGATCTTTATGGTTAGTTTATGTGACAGTTCGGTCTCGATGTAAGAGGATTAAATCCAGAATGATATGGCTTGAGGAAGAATCGTTGAAAGACAACAGACAATTTACATGAAACGAGCGTTAGACGGTTTCTTCTTTTTTTATGGTTGTATTTTGAGACCAAGACGACCGTCGAGATTTTTAAATCACTTAAATCACTCCAAAATGTGTATTGTTTTCGAGAAAATCGGATCAGTTTACGGGGATACAGATTAAGTGATGAGATCAGACATTTTTGTAGCAATTAACGAACCCTTGAATAAAATACAGAATAAAGAATGTTATAGAATAGAATAAAAACATGTTGAAAAATATAATACCCCTATCCACTCAGCAATATGGATTCATTACAAATAAAATGTAAATAACAATTTATTTATGTTTGCTAATAAAGCTTACGAATTTCTTTTGTTTAATTAAAACAGATCATTTATAGGAAAACATAATGAAAATACATCTGGAATATTTTCTACTAATTCGGGTGTTTCACAAGGTTATAACCTAGCACCATTCCTGTTCTTATTATTATATAATTGTTGTTCTGATTGTTTGCTCTTTGCTGATGATTTTAAGGTTTTTAAAACAGTACAGACAGTGAGAGATTGTGTTATTTGACAGAAAGTCATAAATTGTAGATATTTGTGAAAGGAGTTTTAGTAATAAGATGTATTTTAATATAAAAAAAAAATGTTGGGCTCTGACAATAACACGCAAAAAAGAACCAATCATTTTTGACTATATATAATGGATGGAAATATATACTTGTTATTAATTGAATCAAATAATGAGAATACTAAAGAACTATGACATATTGTTAAAGAAATATAACGGTCACAAATGTTAAAAAACAGAATATTGGCTCAATAAAAAATGATCAAAGAGAACTATTAATAAAAAAAAAAGAAATGACAAAAAATTTTAACTAGTCAAATTTCACACATACCTGTTGTAACAAAAAAAAAACCTGTATTATATGATGTTTTCTTAACTTAACTCACTTTTTATTTTTAAACATTTATAACCATGTTTTTTTTTTATATACAATGAAACGAAGCCTATTCATTTTTAAAAAAATCTAATTAAAAATTGGGGGTTAAGGGGGATTTAAATTTAAAAAACCATAAATTTAAAACGAAAAAACGAGAAACAATATCAATTTGAAATGTTCAGAAAAAATCAAGCTCTACAATAGAACGAAACCTATTCATTTTTAAAAAATCTAAATAAAAGGGGGGGTTAAGGAGGTTAAAATTTTAAAAAATGCATAAATCAAAAACGAAAAATAATAGCAACTTGAAATTTTCAGGAAAAATCAAGTTCTGCAATGGGACAAGGCCTATTGATTTAAAAAAAAATCTGACTAAAAATGGGGGGTTAGTGGGGATTAAAATTTAAAAAACCAAAAATTTAAAATGAAAACAATATCAACTTAAAATTTTTAGAATATATCAATCTCTATAAGGGGTCGAAGGGGGATAAAGAAAGTTATAAAATTTGAAAAATTCATAAATTAAAAACGAAAAAAAAAAACAATATCAACTTGAAATTTACAGGAAAAATCAAGCTTTACAATGGGACGAAGCTTATTAATTAAAAAAAAAATCTGATCAAAAATAGGGGGTGGGGTGTTAAGAGGGATTAAATTTAAAAAAAAAAAACAATAATCAACAACAAAAAGATATATCGACATGACATTTTTAATAAAAATCAAGCTCTATAAAGAGACAAAGCTTATTTATTATGAAAAATCTTATTAAAAATAGAGGGGTTAAGGGGGGGAGGGGGGTTTTAAACTTAAAAAAATTCATAAATCAAAAACTAGGAACAATATTATCTCGAAAATTTTACGAAAAATCAAGCTCTATAAAGGGACGAAGCCTGTTGATTTAAAAAAAATATCTGATTAAAAATGAGAGTTTAAGGGGTTAAAATTTAAAAAAAATCATAACTTAAAAACGAAAAACAATATCAACTTGAAATTTTTAGAAAAATTCAAGTTATATAAGGGGACGAAAACATAAAATTTGTAGTAAAAATTAAGCTCTATAATCTGAAAAAAAATCTGAAATAAAATAGGGGGTTAAAAGGGATTAACTAAAATCCTAACTCAGAAACAAAAAACTATATAAACTTGAATTCTTCCAAAAAAATAAAGCTTTTATAGGGGGGATAAAGACTATTCTGAAAATAATCTGATTAAAAATAGGGGGTTGGAAGGGGTTTTTTTTAACTGTGAAGAGTACTGTATAGAATTCCAAGCATTATATATCTTCATTATAGTTTTTTATCTATTTTAATATTTTTATTATTATTATTGTTATTGTTATTTTATTATTTATCAAATCCTCTTTCTGGATAATAAAAATAATCATTAAACTTTTTAAAACAAAATAATAGACCGTCAGATAGTGACTGATTTAGGTGTCCCATTTTCGTATAGTCTCGAAGAGTAAAATTGGGGGTAACACTTGGAAAATTCGATTTTACTTAACAAAAATATTTTCCGACCGCAAAATGCACTTATTCATTCGGTTCATTCAATCAATGTGTGGATAAATCGGTTAAAATTTCAATTTTTCCTTACAAGATTACGTCCTTATTTTAACTCTATCTCTACTTGCAATAATAAAGCCTTTGGTTTTCCGAGGCCAAGTTCTATTAGTTAATCATTTAGTGAACACGGCTTGCGTAAAAATATGGGCAACAAATACCTTTTAATTTATGATAAGAAAAATAGAATTTTCCATATGTTATCCCTATCTGACTGTCTGTAAGTATTATCAGAATTTGTGCTAAATCAATTCAATAGATAAAACAGGTTAGGTTGTCTTGATAAATAGATGAACATCTAATGAGAGACTCATATTCTAATTTGCTGTAAATAAAATATTAGTATTATATGTGGCAAATTATCTGTAGCTAAACAAACCTCAAGGGGAGAAAATAAAAAAAAACAGTAGGAATTTAATTTTTATGCAGTTTGCATTTGAAAAACATCATCTCTTTGATAATACTTTTTTTTTAATAGGAATTTCTACTTCTACATACTGAAATCACAAAATTTTCTGATAATACTTTGTCACGACTTAAAAATATACCTTTCATGACCAACAAGTTTGAATTTTCTTTAAAAATTGTTTCAATAAATAGGAATGCTTATAAACGTGCTGGCATTTTGTGGATATTCTCTGAACAACAGTACAACAATTTTGTTATATTTGTTGCATTATATCTATTTTTGCGCGATTTTTAAGTTCGTCAAATCATTTTAATTAAATTATCGTGCGTAATAATAGAGGTACCGTAAGATATTAATACACATATAGCTATTTTTAGATCAGAGTGGAAATGCCGGTACCACAAAATTAAATTAAATATTAAAACTTCTCCCAACTACCTTACCATTTTATTTTTGCCAGGATAACAATACAATGCTTTAATATATTTTTATTTGTTTCAGAGAGAGTTTGGAGACGAATGCGTGTTCAATGAGACCATAGAACAATCCAACTACAACACATACTCATCCAGTAAATACTCAAATGATAAAAGGACCTTTTATTTGGCGTTGAACCAGCGTGGCCAATCTCGCAAAGTGGTGCTGCGTGCTCGAAAACCCCTAGGAAGACTGTCCTCGTACACGCTTGTCCTCACGAGAAACGTGGCTCCAGAGCTTCACCCGATGAGGCACCACGGCCACGTCTGTCCCCCCGTACCCCACCAAACAAAGTCCCACCCCGCCCATCAGCGTTGTCCCAAGCGAAGGAAACGGAAGAAGAAGAAACGAAAATGTTCGAATGACGAAAACGACCCCGAATTTTGTCACAAAAGACTAAACGTATCGAAACACAAGGCGCAAAATCGAAATATTCATAAGTGCGACGAGAACAGGGACAGTGAAATGTGCCAAAGAGACGTGATTAAAAAGAAACAAAATAGGTTAAATAGTGACAAAACAGTAGTGAGTGATCCCAAAAGAAAAAAGAAAATTCGGAAAGGCCAAGGCGTCAGGAAGAGGCCTGTTGAGGTAGCTGAAACTACAACTACGACTATGGCGCCCACGTCCACACCTAGTGAAGATACTACTAATGATGAGGACTACGCTGTAGATGCATATACCCATCCAGAATGGGAAGACTCAACTTCTCTTCCTGACATACCTATGGCTGTCTCCGACGCTAAACCCCATTTAGATTCTGACTGACTCGCGCTTTTTTCTTTTTATTTATTCTATTATTTATTGTATGTACATGTAAATAATTATCTATAAGTCAATATACCTCACCGTTGTATAGACTTTATTTTTTATTCCTTTCCAAATAGTTAAATCCCCAAAAAACAATGATGATTTGAATAGTTCTCGACATGGGACAGAAAAGAAAATTTTAATCATTTTAAATGATGTATCACTCAAGTTCTATTATCCTTCTTTTTTTTACCTGATCATTATCGAATTCAAAATTTTATTAAATGAAAATTTAGGCATGTTTTAAATATAAATTCCTTCAATAGAGTACCAATTATTCAGTAAACTAAAAAAATATATATATTTTATAGAATCTATAGGATTTGTCACATCATAAGGCAAAAAAAATTAGGTATTTTAATACAATGTGACCAAGTGAATTAAAACAGTAAGATATCAAGGTCAGGTTTTCATTGGATATTGATTTTTCTCCGTTTTATACCAAAAATAAGGAAAACTGTTATTTCATATAGAACACACTGTATATTTTTAGACAATCAGAAAATACCTATAAGGGGATGAATTGGGGATTAAATGAAACAAATCCTAAAAAATAAAGGGGATTAAGGGACGTTGAAACTTGAAAATTTTTAGGAAAATCAAGTTTGTTAGCATAATATAGAATGCCAAGCGTTATACGGTATCGGCCAACGAATACCTTCTAATATTCCTTGGCACAAGGGCGTGGCACTAGCGTAAACAGGAAAGAAACAAAACCAGACATGCCAGCCTATACGGCCTGGAGAACGTTATAACGCGATCTGGTCCTATAAATGACAACACTGGTTTTGTTTCTTTCCTACTTGCCCTAATGCCTCTGTATTTTTCACACGCACGTGTGTCAAGGGATATTAGAAGGTATTCGTTGACCGATACCGTGTATTTTCATTCGAATTTAGTTTATAGAATACAAAGTGGTTTATAAAAAAGAAATTTTAACCTACTACAGATTTTCAAAATACCCTAGTTGATAAAAAAATGTATAGATTACCAGCACTTCTGACCTACATAATGCCGCTATACCAAAAAAAAAATATAAAATGTATACCTAACAATAATAATTATTATTCTTAGCTAAATTTAAATCGAAAGACTCACCTATTGAAGCCGCATACTCCACCTAAAACAATATACAAAAAAATGTTAATAAAAAACTAAAATGAACCATAAATTCAGTAAAATATCAAGATAATAATTTGTTTACAGAAAAAGCTAAATTTAAATCAAAAGACTCACCATTTAAAGCCGCTCATTCCTCCTTCACTTTCTGCCCTATTTGTTGTTCCAGTATTTCTTACTGCTTCTCCATAATATCCATTATTTTCCGATTAAAACGCGTCCGGACAAATCTTCTATTCCCGACGACATTAATGATTATCGTATCATGTTCAATTCTATAGCAACCCTTTGATACGTAGACGTATCTCCGGCTAGTATATCTGCAGCCTTGTCCATTTGATCCTGGAAGATACATCCCAAGACAATATAATCTAAATTATTAAATATCGAAGGACATACATTCTCAGATCAAACGTCTTTATTGTTAGAGGTGAAATGAACATGAGCTCAAACCATTGATATCGTGCTACCGATTAACTCGAGAAATTTGCGGCGATTTAATTTTTTTCTTTACGGAGATTCGCTGAAAAGAAAAACAAGAATTAATAGGAAATTTTGAAAATGTCAAGAGAGAAGGATATTTCTGTTTCTTAAAGGTAAATAATCTTATCTCCAATCTTATAGATTTGGAAGAAATGAAGCCCAAAGTAAGATATACGACTTTATACTTCTTTGAAAAAAGAAAATACTAATTTTTTTCTAAACGTTATATATCAACAAACTAGTTGGCACTAAAAAAATAAAAACTATAGGTATTTTAGTGAATGTACTCCACTTGCACAGATCTAGGTAATTACTAACTCCAGCTGAGAACATCAACATCTAGAATATGCGATATAATAATACCTAGAGTAGTAAATGGTAAATGAAACTAACATTAGCAATCAAACATTGAGAGGAAATATAACTCAAAACGACTTTTTTTTCTTTAAAAAATGAGAATACTATTTTTTTCTAAACCTTCTATATCAACAAACTAGTCACTACTTTACAATTTTCTACCACTAAAAAAATAGAAGCTATAAAAATTTTAATGAATGCACTCCACTTACACAGATATAGATAATTGTTGACTCCAGTTATGAACATCAACATCTAAAGTATGTTATACAATAATACCAAGAGTAGGTAGTAATACAGAGATAACAGAGATATAACCATTCATTGATAAAATATAATATTCACGATGCCAAGATTAATTTGTAGAGACGGGGCGAGGAGACAAAAGGTGAGAAGTAAAAGAAGGGATAAAGAGAAGAATTTTACGCAGGTACAACTTATTTTTATCAGTAAATAAATGTGTAAACCGCTGTGCGCTTATAATAAACAACGTAAATATCCATGCCGGTGTAAGCACTGTTGCCACTTCCAAGCTAAAATGACTAATTTTTTGAATTTATTGAAAATTATTACATCTAATTTAGGGAAATTACATTTAATTTAGTTAAATTTAACATAACTAATGATTCAAAAATTTTTGGGTTCAGTTGCAATTAAATAGGTTGAATTATTTTAGCTATTTTAATATATGTAAATAATTTTGTAACAAAATGAGAATAATGAAATAAGCATATGACACCAGCAGATATTATACCCTCCTGTGTCCCTTAGAATATGTCTTATTTCGGACCACACGATATTTGTTAGTAGTTATCGTTATCTCTGGTAGTATATCATTAATGAAACTAATATTATCAATCAAACATTGGGAGGAAATATAATTTAAAAATACAAATTTTAATTTAAAAAGTCATCCTATTAATGTAAACTGAAAAACAAAGAAGAAAGCAAACAATTATTGGCTGGATAGGTATTACTTATTAGTCCTAAAACCATACAGAAGGAATAATTATTAGATATACCCAATCAATGATATATGTAAGTATCATTTTCCTAGAGAACCCTGTATAATTAAAATAATTTTTAAATTATTGCCTTTTCTGATATACATCTCACTGTGAAAATAGATTTTAAAAAATATCATTAGTTTTGGCTCTACAGACCGAGGCATTACCGGTGGGCCACCCTATATATAGATTTAGAAACAGTGCTAAGCACGGAATGAGGTTTCTAGCAACAATATAGTACAATTTTTACTGAAATGTTCCTTAAAATCCATATTATTATGGATCATGTTATTTACTAAAGTTTTCTTGGATAGAACAACATTTTAACAGCAAGAGCTGTTTTTCTGAAAACTGGACAATCCTGTTTTTAAATTAATGCCTTTTCTGATATACATCTCAATGTGAAAACAGATTAAAAAAAAAACAATTAGTTTTGGCTCTACAGACCGAGGCATTACCGGTGTGCCACCCTGTAGATAGATTTAGAAACAGTGCTAAGCATGGAATGAGGTTTCTAGCAACAATATAGTACAATTTTTACTGAAATGTTCCTTAAAAATCCATATTATTATGGATCATGTTATTTACTAAAGTTTCCTTGGATAGAACAACATTTTAACAGAAAGAGCTGTGTTTTTCTGAAAACTGGACGATCCTGTTTTTAAATTAATGCCTTTTCTGATATACATCTCAATATGAAAACGGATTAAAAAAAAAACAATTAGTTTTGGCTCTACAGACCGAAGCATTACCGGTGGTCCACCCTGTATATAGATTTAGAAACAGTGATAAGCATGGAATGAGGTTTTTAGCAACAATAAAGTACAATTTTTACTGAAATTTTCCTTAAAAATCATTATTATGGATCATGTTATTTACTAAAGTTTCCTTGGATAGAATAACATTTTAACAGCTAGAGTTGTGTTTTTCTGAAAACTGAACAACCCTGTTTTTAAATTATTGCCTTTTCTGATATACATCTCACTGTGAAAACAGATTTTAAAAAATATCATTAGTTTTGGCTCTACAGACCGAGGCATTACCGGTGGGCCACCCTGTATATAGATTTAGAAACAGTGCTAAGCATGGAATGAGGTTTCTAGCAACAATATAGTACAATTTTTACTGAAATTTTCCTTAAAAATCATTATTATGAATCATGTTATTTACTAAAGTTTCCTTGGATAGAACAACATTTTAACAGCAAGAGTTGTGTTTTTCTGAAAACTGGATAACCCTGTTTAAACTGTCGTAAAATCATTAGTTGAAATTGTAAATTTTTTAACTGTAAAACATAATATGTTGAAAAAGTATAAAACCTAGAGCAAAAATGTTCTTTTTTGTTAATTCAAAACAGGTAAATTTTGATAAAAACATTTTTTCTTTCAAACAAATTTTAATTAATACAATAGAGAACAAAAAAAAGCAAGAATATTTCCTACCCATTAAACCTTGAAAAGGAAAAAAAGCAGTTTTACCGTACAACAAAAAATCTTACTAAAAAAATGCATGTTTTTGGTGTACCTAGATAGGTATACATAGCCAAAGCATCATTGTCGAGAGATTCCGATATTTAATCATTATTTTTAAATAATATGCATCTTACCTAATGATTTTATTACAAATGATTCTTCAAATTGAAGACCAAATTCTTTTCTTAAAAAATGTTCTTTCACTTTGACACTTATCAGCAGCCATTTTATGTCATGTAAGTAATTTTCTCATAGACAAAAAAATCATACATAGCCTACTTACCTAATGACTTTTTGCTCTGCCAAATTTAAGCATCTGCAAATACGTCATCAGGATTTTACCTGTCAAGTTTTTCGAAAAATAAAGGTATTTTGTATAGGAAACATGGTCCAATTTTATTTTCTTATTGTTTAATGCTTTTTTATCAATACCTATCTATCTAAAACAGATTTTAACTCAATTTAATGAAATTTTCAGTTTATTGTTGACAACTTTATGAAATGTCTTTTTGACATGATTCGAAATTGCATCATCCGATTTTTTTTTATTAACACCCTAGAAAAACGTTTCTGTATAAAAGTTGAAAGCTTTGGCTCAAAATCAAATATTAACTTAGAATGAATTTCGAAAAAGTCAACATTGTGGAACAATTTTACAAAGCACATTTTTGGGGGGGAAGAAGATAAAATACCAACTGAATTGTTTTTATGTGCATTAAATATAAAAAATTGGTAGCATAGGTGAATTTAACCAACCGTGTTTAGATTTGGAACCAACTGCTTGGGCTTTGGGGGGGCGGCTCCTCCTTTAAGAAATTTAGAATTGCTTGATAACTCAATTTTAATCGTCCCGTACAATAAAAAATTCAAAATCTAGTTTAATTTTATTAGAATTAGAAGTATGTAGATAGGCAACCTTTTCTACCTTCTAGACCACTTCGCCATCTATCAATAAAGATGAATTCTACACAAAAAAAAAAAACACATCTTCAAAGAGAGTTTAATAGATGGCACTACATTGTGTAATTTGTTTTGACTATTGCCGCGTTTGAGAATCCACATCGGATGCATTTTTTACATCTCGAGCGTTTTTTTATCCACATCGGACACATCTGTCCCATTACATTTACGTATACTGAATCACGTGATCAAAGATTTTTTACATCTCAGATGCATCCGATGTGGATTCTCAAACGCAGCAAAATAATGGGTGAACTCAAGAACTAATGTTGCCAGATGTCCGCTAATTATTGTGTAATACATAATTATTTATGTTATTCTTTTTGAATTTCAATAATGGTTTCTTATTATTTAAATAATCATATATAATTAAAAAAATTGAACTTTGTACCATAAATGGATAGGATAAAATAGAACATTTTGAACAAATCTATGCATCCGAGTGACCTGGCAACATTGTCAAGAACTAACTAACTACTTAACTGTCACTGTCAGTAATGTCAGTCAAGTCAAGCTGTGGTTGAGATTTGGGATGAAAATACAGGATACAGGTTAATGTTAATCACAGTTTTGTAAAAATTCATGAATATAAAAGCAAGTGTTGTGATCAAATGTGACTCTAAACGATATTTGTAGTTCTGTTGTCGCCTTAAGCTACTTAACAGTGCTGAATTTTTAGTAAAAATGTCGCAAATTAGCTCTCCGACAGCAAATGGTGAGAGAACAAGTATTCATGATATGCTGAAAGACACACCACCAAATGAAATCAAAACAACCACATTACCATCCTCCTCAAGCAATTCAAATATTTCAAAATCAGTCCCCGCTAGCCTATCTCCTTCTAGTAATCCTCCTTCAGGGCTAAACTCTCCCTCATCTAATGACGATTCCACACTCTTCAGAAACAACTCGTCTCGAATAGAACATTTAAAAAATTGGTCCATATCTACTTACAAATGTACCAAGCAGATTATGTTTGAAAAACTAGGCAAATCATCTAGAACAGTAGACTCAGGTAGGTTCTTATCAGTATATACAGGAAGAAAATATCTTATCAAGCAGTATCGTATTTCTTTGCTGATAAATTCATTATTTCAGAACTAGAAACTCGAATAGATCAACTTAAGGACACCCAAAAGAAATATATTAACATTCTTCGTTTGACTAGAGTACTGACCAGCCATTTTTATCATGTTGTTCAAACGCAGGTATGCTATGCAATAATTATTGTTTTTATTTATATGTTAATACATAAACTGAATAAAAAATAAGATAATTATAAATAATACAAATCCTGCTTAATGTATAGCCAAAATGTTTACAGATTTATTAGATTTTGAAAAGTAATGTTTGGAAATATATTTTAATAAGGCCTATATGTTAAATCACAAATAATTACCAATTGTGACATTTCCATATTAAAATAATCTGATGATAAGCATGAATCTTATTACAGAAGAGTTTTGCATGAGTAGCATAGTAAATATATATATTATTAGGGTGACAATTTGAAAACGAACAGCATTCAATATTTCTTTAATTGATTATATATACATATAAAAGGGGACAGTTATTTGTTGTATTACACACAACTCCCTCACCCCCAGGCCACCTATTCCTAGAATTTTAAATAGCAACCCCCACTTATTTCATTTTTGAAATTCTGTACTGAATTCTTGATAAGTTACATTTATTTTTATTTTTTTTTCTCTCAAAATTGATGTACTTGACCTCACGAATGTATTAAATTTATTAAATTAAAATAATGCAAGTTTTAATGGGGTTCCACCATAACAGCCACCTCCTAAAAAGTAAGAAAATGAAGCAAGATACTGAAATTATTAACCTAACCTAATTTAGACTTATTCAAAATGTTTTCCACTATTTTCTGTGAGGATTTATTAAACCAATATCATGGTATTAAGCAAAGTTAATTTTATGAATTGACAGCCTACAGCTTCCATTAGATATTGAATGTAATAAATTATAGTAAATCTTTTACAGTTCTTTATTATTGTACCAATAAAATTTTGTTTGAATTCAGCAAACCTCATACTAAAAACCTAATATTTTTCAGAGAAAACAGATTATTTGACTATCATAATAAATTTATTTCCAATTTTTTAGCATGCCTTAGGTGAAGCATTCTCTGAACTTGCTCAGAAGTCCCCAGAGCTTCAAGAAGAATTTTTATACAACTGTGAAACTCAAAGAAACCTGACAAAGAATGGTGAAACACTCTTAGGTGCTTTAAATTTTTTTATATCCTCAGTGAATACGCTTTGCAACAAAACTATTGAAGATACTTTACAAAGTATAAGACAATATGAAGCTGCAAGAATCGAGTATGATGCATATCGTACTGATCTTGAATGTCTCTCTACAAAACCTGATGGTACAATAGGTCTTGAAGAGGCACAGCAAAATTATGAAGTGCATAGACAGAATTTCATGAAGTTAAGAGCCGAGGTTACTATCAAACTGAAATTTTTGGATGAGAATAGGGTAAGTGTCAACAAAAGTTGAAACCATTGTGCTCTAAAATTCAAACTTTTCTGTTATATTGGGTTGGCAGCACAGTGTGCCAAATACTTTAACTTTTAAATTAATTTTCTGTTTGTGTTAATTCAAAAAATGTAAAGTTATACTAGATTGTTTTTATAAAAATGCTATTAAAAAAAAAACCTAAAGCCTGTTTACATTAAAATATTTTTGATAAATGCAAATATTGCCAGAGTGGTTTATTATTCTATTGTATGATAATATTGACTATATAAATATTATTTTTAACTAAAGTTATTGAGTCGACATTTAATTCAGAAAAAAGCTTTTTAATACTTTAAGTAGAGTTCTTGTTGGTTATATTTAAATGTACAGCATTTGTACTTTTTCTTTGCCTTGCATTATTTTCCTGAAGCAATAAAACCATAATATGAGTATATATGTTGAAAACACCCAGCCAATGATAAAAATATTATGAGGAAACAGAAGAAAAGCTATAAAAAAATTAAAATAATGAACTGGAATCAGAAGAAACACCAATAATAGAAACCTGCACAGAACACTATGGAAATAAATTTGGAAGTTCTTGAATAAGGAAATACCAAATATAAACAGAAGACTTAAATGAACATCCATCTAGAGAAAAAAAATCATCTTTCACAGGCGACCAAAGATCCACTCTGGCCAAGTTGCTGAAAGCATATGAAACATTTTTTACCAAAATAGATTCTTGTTATTTGTCGATAATATTTTCCTAGTCTTTTTACTTTTAACCAACATTTGTTATTTTTTTTTTATTTCAGATCAAAGTTATGCATAAGCAGCTGCTCCTATTCCATAATGCCATTTCAGCGTACTTTTCTGGAAACCAAACGGCCTTGGAGGCGACATTGAAGCAGTTCAATATCAAAGTCAAGACTCCAAACTCAACATTTCCATCGTGGTTAGAACAGTAGGTTAGGTTATTTGAATATTACACTGTATTATGCATTAACTTTCTAGTCATTAATTAATTTTGACGTTAACGTTTAATAAATTTTGTGTTAATTTATCCACCAGCAATGTAAAATGTTTTTTATAATAAATAATTTGCAATTTTCTGTAGTAATATTTTTGCCTTAAAAATGGTAGAACAAGAGTGGATATGATGACCATATCGCAAAAAGATGAAGTCACTTCTTGTGTGTAATTTTTTTAAACTATGAAAAACGGAATTTAGGTATTAACATCAACATTAACTTACTTAAAAAATAATCAAATGAAACTAACAATTATTTAAATTTTATCACTACCATATTTTTGTAATGCAAGAGAATTGTTTAAAAACTAAATATTTAGATCCTATTATATTTAAAATATATATAACAGACCTTATCTCATGTATATGCATTAATTATGATAATAAATAAATACATTTCACGATTTTAGAAAAGAAAATTACGTGGATCTTTATAATTATGTTTACACTTGAAAATAGTGAATTAAAAACTTAAAATTCTAGAGAAAACTAACTAACTTTCGTCTAATGGTAGATATTATCAATTGAAATTAATAATTACTTATCTATTGAATGGAATTTTGCAAACAAAGTAATATTTAAAAATACAACAAAGTAGCCTTATTATTTATGTTTACACTAAAAAATGTTGAATTAAATGAACAAATGGTGAGTCTTGGCGACGTTGTAACTACATCAAATCTGTAGCCTGTCTAGGAGGGGTCTATCAACTAACAATAACTTAGGAGGAAGCAAAATGGGCCTAGTGATCATATTTAACTAAATTAGATGTAATAACTTTTGAAACCTAGTTAATGTCAACTTGGATATAAAGTATTTTTTGTACTACAGGGCTTGGATTTTTTTCATTGTTTATTAACGGCTTACACATAATATTCATTGATAAAAATTTTTGGTAGGGCCGTTAAATCTTTTATTTTATCCCTTCCCTTACCTCACACCACATGTCTCTTCACTCCTGATCTACAATTGGATCGTATCAACTGTGTTATCGATGTGGGCGTCACGAATATTATATTTTATCAATGAATAGCTATATCGCCTGTTTTCTTTGTTATTGGCCTTAGTTTGTGTTCTGTTTTGTTAATTGTTCGTTTAAGAAGTGTCAGTCAAGTCCACGTGGACTGACGGAGTGAGTAGTTGGCTTGTTCTGGGTTCTTCAAAATGTACTGCAAACCTTCCAAGACCCAGTGGAACAGTTGAATATCAAATTATTTAAAACTTTTCAACTTTCCACTGGTCATCTAGTACTTGAGCAGTTTTTAACATATATTTCTGAAAAACCAGAACAGACCAAGTATATTTTTTCTAAAATTCATATAGAACGTTGATAGTTATACTCAGACTGTAGTATACAAATTTTGGTTAATTTAAGAATCGACCATAACAACTAACAATTTTACGTTAAGTTAGGCTTCCATGGAATAAAGTTTTATGAGAACGTACGCTTGTGCCTATCTTGAGATAGTACCTACTATAGTGGCCACAGTACCACCCTCTGATTGACCTAAATTGATGATACAGTGGCTATTTTACTCTAAATTTTTATATTTTGAAACTTATTATTTTATATTTTCTACTCAAGAGTTTTAGCTGTAAATATTTGTTATCTAATGCTATTGGAGTTCTCTTAGAATAGCTTATTTTGTTTTTTTTTTTATATAAAAAGTTCGGTACTCCTGTTCCAGATTCTCCCCCTATAGTTAGGGCATAACTATTTTAATGAAAATTAGATTTTTGAATAAGAATAGTATGATATAAAAATCAAGTTGAGGTCGATTTCAAATCCGGCATTTTTAATGAACTGACGCCATACTGACGCTTGCACAATTATAATTTTTTTGAGTTGTTTTTTGAACATCCTAAACAGTTTATGATTAATACTAATGTATTAAATGGGAATACTCCACGATAAAGATTATTAAATGCTTACCTGAATAACCAGAAACAACAATTTCACACTTTATTTTACCATTAAAATCACACATTCAAAAGTTTGAATATGGACACGCTATCAAGAGATAGTAATTACAGTACAGCCATCTAGATTGAAACAATCCTACTATTTCTAGGCTTCTTATAGGCTGGCCTCTACCTTATATAGCAATTAGCAACAGGAAATTTACTGGCGTCTGCACAACATTCGAGCAGATCCACGACTCATGCCGAACGTAAACGAGGTATATCGAATCATTTAAGATGGCGCTATTTTTAAATATTCGCTGTAATACACCCATGGAGAAAGGATAATACATCTTTATAGAAAAAAACGATTATAAATAAAAAATAAACCCTTCAAACTAATATATTTTACTGTAGTTTTAAAATTAATGTATATTTAAAGCGATTAGTGAATTATTCTTAACATGGTTTACAAATAAACAGTAATAAACACAGAACATGTAAAATTTTACATAGATAGATGATTATAAACTTAACATTAATCGTGTTTTTTGCCCTATTATTAAATTTACGTTATTTTATTGGAAAGGTACAGAAAGGGTTAAGGACTGATTTCACCGTTGTGTTAAACGGAGATTAAAATGACATTGTTATTGTAAAAATGTCATTTTAAACTTCGTTTAACACAACGGTGGAATTGGTCCTTAATGATTTATTTATTAAAAAATATTTTTAGAATACATTTTTCCATAACTACTAGAGCCACCTAGAGTCGAAAGCGATTAACTCAAAATATATGTTGGCAACATTGAATTTCGTAGACGCAAATGGGCGGCTGACTACGAAAATCGATATTCCGTTCTATGACCCGAGAACCGGCATCACGTAGCGTGCAGCGTTCGTAGAAGTTGCCGATTGTCGCCATTTTATACTAAAGTTGTTTGGTGTGCTGGTGCTGGATCTCGCATTTTTGACAAATTTGTGTTGTATTGTTAGAAAAAACGAAAAATGGATACAGAAAATGCTGTAGATGTACCTCACGTTAAGGTAGAATCATCCACAAATAATGATAATGATACAACAGTTGTTCAAGAAAAGCCAAACCATTTTAATCGTGGCGGTGGAGGTGGCGGAGACCGTGGAGATCGGCGAGGCGGTGGTCCTGGAGGCGATAGATTTGGACGAGGCGGCAGATTTGGCGGCCAAAGAGGAGGCCAGGGTGGTGTAAGTACATCATATATTTTATTTTACGACTTTGTACATTACTAGAGGTTAATGTAACTATAAACTCAATTAACCTTTGTTGAAGAACGAAGCCATTGGCGAAATAACTGTACTTTATGATAAATTGCTTCTATGCAGGATTTATTTCTGATAACTAGTTTGGGTCACACATTAAATTTCAAAACTTTCTATTTCAACATTTCTTCATCATTAACAATATTGTTCAATAATTATCTATCATTGTGACAATTTAGTAATTATAATATAATAAGGGTAGATAGAATCTGTAACGTCGGTTTGATAGGAGGTCCTCACAAGTAGAGAATACCATTAAGTCCAATTTTGCAATTCTATGAATAAGGGATATGTTCTATCATGGGTAAGGTGACCATATTTTGAAAAGTAGAAAGGGGGACAAATCGAGATTTTTCAACAAATTCTATTTGAAGCAGTGGTGTCAGTGAAGAGCAAAAAAAAATATTTAATAGAGTGCTATATTGGAAATTTTTGAGCCAGAAAAGGTCCTTTAAATTAAATTTTATGGTAAGCGCTGCAGTTAGAGTATCAACATACAGAGATTAACAGATTAGTTTCAAAAAATATTGAAAAGGACAGAACCTACAAAAGGACGATTGGTCACCTTAATCACAGGATTTAGAGAAAAATGAATATGATAAAACTGGAAAATTATCAACTCATTTTTTATTGTATACAATAAGTCTAAATAAGTACTTCTTTGATATTTCTGAAACTTAATCAAAACATCTTATAATTAAAAACAAAATATATTAGTTTTTTTATATATTATATTAAAAACTAAAAATTGTCTTTATAAAATAATGAAATTCAAATAAAATCTTATTCATCAATGTAGGTTAAGTAGAAATAGTATTAAACAATAAGTAGGTATTCTTTTCAAATCAAAATTAGGAATAAAGAAACTAATACATCATCTCTAAACTTGTTCCTTAATTTGTTAACAGTGGAAAAAGCTGCAAAACAATACACGATATGGTTGAATGCTAGTAAGAGGAATTGACAGTAAATAAGTTTGCTCTAAATCATAATCACATGTTCTACTATCAAAATCAATTACTTGTGTTTTTCATGCTTATGTTTATTTCAAGCTAAAGCTTTTTTTTTTTCAGTGTTGATTGTTTGATTTCTACAGATTCTGTTGTTTTTTGTTTGCACATAAGAGTACAGTAGTGCACAAATTTTGTTATCCTCTATTATCATTTTAAATAGTTTAATATATGCCACCCCTAGGACTAAATAACTTCAATCTCGAGATTTTCAGAAGCAGAAGATCCCAAGATCCTATCAAAAAGTAATACATTTTAGAGGTAAAAACAATAATAAAATGCTAAACCAAATATCAATGTGGTCAAAAATATGGTGAATTCAAATGTGTTATTTTAAGAAAACTACTTTCCCAAAAAACTTGGGAATTATTAAAGCTGCAAGTGTTTTTGTTCTCATTAACTTTAAAAGTTAAAAAATACCACCCCCTTAGCTGTTGGAGAGCGGGTACCACCCTCAAAAAATTAAGTTACAATTTTTCTACACTCAAAATTTTGTATTGACAATAAAAAATATTGCCAAAAAAGTTTTAAACTTTCAGTATCTAGAGATAAATCGTAGATTCCAACTGTTGTATTTTAAAAATTCTTACTTTATTTTTTGAATATGCCACCCTCTCCATCTCCCGTTAGGGGATGATTGAGGTAAGATTTTCAAACAAGTGCTTTGTAAATCAGGTATGTTGTAAATGTGCCAAAAATAGATTGTAGCCTCTCTATTTTTAAATACTAGCCCCTAAGTCTAAACCATGATGGCTCAAGTAAATATATTTATAAAAAAATTTAATTTTTGGTTTGCATAAAGAAAAAAACTGTTCTATTGAAAAAATAAAAAATTGTCTACATTTGATTTTCATATTTATGAAAAAATACATCCACATTTTGAGGTGTGATAAAATATAGTGAATCATTTTGTTAGAAACAAAGATAAGTTTACATGGAATTGGATTTAATTTCCTTTGAAGCAATACACTTATTCCAATGTTGAATCCATGACTGAAAGTATTTCTGGAAGGCTTCTATCAGACAGGTTAATGAAGAGTGCATCTACTATCTTCTTGAACTATATACATTGATAACTGGATAGGTTTACTTTTTTGACTTGTCAAAATCTTTTGACACAATTAACTGAATTAACATATTGTTCCAAATAAATTACATAGATTTCAAGACCATAATTTTTAGATGTCTATATCCTGCATCATTGTATAATAATCAAAAAGAACTACTAAAGATTTATTACTATTCTCTAATCAGGATAAGCATTTAAAAAAAATGGTAAAAACTTTAAACCAAGCAATTATCAAATGAGTTGTGATAATACACTGACCTAGGTCCTAATATAAATACCTAATAATATGGACTTTTGAGTCAGTGAAAAATACTCAAAAATTTCCATTTTTGACTTGTGGTGATTGTCTTCTTCCAAACTAATTTAACTTTATTTATTTTTTTGTTCTTCTACTGCTTATTTTATAATATCAGTTGTTAAGTCATTTAAATTCTTATTTAATTTAGTCACCATTAGTAAACTATTTGAATATAGTTAGTCTAATAGCAGAGTAGCATTTTTAAATACCCAGTGTGAGCAGTTGAATAAAATATTCATTTTATTATTCTTGATACCTCAAATACATGTTAATTATTTTCTTTAGAACCAGAGGGGTGATGGCAGAAATTTTGAAAACAGAAGAGGAGGAGGCCGTGGTGGTGGCTTTGGTAACCGTGGACAAAGGACTGAAGATGATCATCAAGATGGTCAGGAAAATCAAGATGGGCACCAAAATCGTAGAGACGGTAGAGATAACAGAGATAACCATCGTGGTATGAGACCAATGAGAGGACCTGAAGATAAATTCATGGAAAGGATTCAGCAACTATCTGGCCCAACCTTTGATCTTCCTCCAGTTGATTTGTCTGAGAAAAAATTCAATGGTAGGAATAGGTTATACATTGGAAACATTGGTTCTGAAGTAACTGATGAGGAATTGATTGAAATATTCAAACCCTATGGTGAAACCTCTGAAGTATTTGTAAATAAGGACAAGAACTTTGGTTTTATCAAGTTGGATTATCACAGCAATGCAGAAAAAGCCAAGAGAGAACTTGATGGCACTATATTGAAATCCAGAAACTTGAAAATTAGATTTGCTCCCAACTCTGCCACTATAAAAGTCAAAAACCTTACTGGTTATGTCACCAATGAGTTACTGCACTATGCTTTCAGTGTCTTTGGAGAGGTAAGTTTTATTTCCAGTTCATAAACCTTTCTAATTTATAAAAATTTTATTATTCCTAAGTTTATTTTTGTTGTTTACAGATTGAAAGAGCCACAGTATGTGTAGATGAGAGGGGCAAGCCTACTGGAGAGGCTGTAATTGATTTTGCTAGAAAAGGTTCTGCTCTTCATGCTATTAGAAAGTGCACAGATGGTTGCTTCTTCCTAACTGGTTCCCTCAGACCATGTGTAGTCGAAACTCATGATATAGTAGATGATAATGATGGCTACCCTGAGAAGAATGTTAACAAAAAACACCCAGAATACCTAAAAGAAAGAGAGCTAGGTCCAAGGTTCGCCAATCCTGGCTCCTTCCAAAGTGAATATGGTATGAGATGGAAACAACTGTATGACCTTCACAACCAGAAAGAAGATGCTCTCAAAAAGGAATTGGAGTTGGAGAAAGAAAAACTTGAAGCACAAATGGAATATGCAAGATATGAACATGAAACTGAAATGCTAAGGGAACAGCTCAGATCCAGGGAGTTGGACAAGGAGAGACAGAAGCGCGAATGGGAAATGAAGCAAAGACAAGTTGAAGAGGAAAGGCTTAGAACTGAGGAACAAATGAGAAGGACACAAGAAGATATGGAATCGAGAATTGTGGCTCAACAAGAGGAATTGAGGAGAAGACAACAAGAGAATAATCTGTTTATGCAAGCACACAATTTGGACTCAATGCTTGACCAACAAGAGCAAGCCTATGAACCACCTAGTACTTTCAGCCAAGGTGAATATTAATTCTTGCATTAATCATGTATTTATTTGTGCTTTTTTTTTTATTTATTTTTTAAATATATATTTTTGTTCCAGGTAGCAACAATGCTACAGATGACAATGGTTTAATGGTAAGTGTTGCACTATTATATTTCAGCTTAATTTTACATGCTATTGAACAATTAAAAATCATACTTTTTATTAATTTTAATCTGAAATACTTTTTGTTATTGGTTATTAATTTTCGTGATATAATTACTATAAAAGCGGGGTTATGGGAAAATATAATTTTTTTTTTATTATTAAAATTATTAGCATACCATATTTTTTCGTCTTCTACACTGGAAAATATTTTTTTAGGTTTTAAAATATAGATAAAATTATGATAAAAATTTTACCATAAAATAAATGATCTAATTTTCCTTATATAAATATAAAACTTATGGGAATGATTTGAGTAAAACGCATGATTACAGACGTACTGAAAACTAGAATATAAATAAAAATGGCTCTAGTTTTCAATAAGTATTGACAGATGTAATATATAAATGCAGCCTTTTTTATACAAATATATATTTTAAGATTTTGTTTAAACCGTGGCTTATTGTAAACATTAAACGAAAATATTAACATTTTTTTTGGTAATTTTAAAAATTTATTCATAGATCTGACAAATTAGACAAATGTAACCCTTTCGGTCCGGATTTTTTATAATTTTAAATAATACTGCTCGCGGAACCTTAACTTTTCGAGATTTTATGAATATATCAACTATGACAGCGCCATACTTATAAAAATCGGTTGTATCACGTTAACGATTATTTAACTACCAAAAATGGAAATGGTTCTTTTAATTACTTTATATAATAAAGTACAGAACAACATTTTTATTTTAAACCTTCAAGTTGTACAAAATATAATAATGGACAAAAATAAAATGAAAGTTTTACTAATACATTTTAATATCTGATGCTCTTATTTCTGTTTCTATTCTCTTAAATATTTTAAATCATTTTTATTATCGGCGATAAATACATAAACTGCGACCTAGAAGATTTTTTGTGTCCAATTTTGGCAAAGATGTTGTAGTCTCGATGTCTATAGTTAAATCTGTTAATAATAGTGAGTAAAAGATTGTCAGAAATGTGTAAACAGAGTTGCTATATTATGCTGACAGGTTATGGAACAGGAGGAAATATTTCCAGTGGGGGCAATTTTAATGTTTTACATAAGTAGTAAAATAAACATTTTAATTTAATTACAGAATTTATTTTAAAATTTTTTAATTGAAATGAGATTGGTAATGATTGGTACATTACCACACTGATTATTGGCTTTGAAATATTACAATCTGATTCAACTTGTTTTAATAAAATTTAGAAAATGAAAAAGTACCTGTTGCATAATATGTTATAATGTTGCACATTCCTGTCATTTTTTTAATGAATATTATTTATTTAGAATTTGAAGTGACTCCAAGCTGGGTATATCTATCTAGAGATGGTAGGGAGCATTTTACCCATTTCTGTAGAAGCCCTTGAAAAAAAAAATTGGTCAGTTAGCTATAAACAGCCTAATCTGTTAAACTTCATTTTAACACAAATGAAATAGTGATGATTTTCTTGTGGGTCAATTTTGGTTTTATGAGAATTTGTTTTTTCAATTTAATTCCTATTGCTAGTTTTTCACATACTATTGCCCAGTACTTTATTTTTTTGGATTTATGAGTTTATTTTATTCAATTTAATAAAACAGATATGAAAAATTTCAGGAAAGTTACCAAACTCTGGTCAGATCACTCTCTTCTATCTGATAAGTTCCCTTAGATTTTGTAGGGCGTTACATTCATCAAGATATTTGACTTTTTGTTTCCACTCTTATGTTTAGAGATTGAGTTGTGGTTTTGGTGGTACTGGTAAAAGCATTTTTTGATTGGATTTTGAATGAAAAAGTTATTGAATTTTTTTCTTGTAAAGGTAGATTCTCTATATTTCGGTTACCACATTACAGAATCGGGCACTCTAATGCAGAATTATTTTTTTCATATGAATTATGAGTCTGTCCAGGGACTCTAGTATATGAAAACTTTTTAGCCATTACTATAATTTCTATTGCAATAGATTTTGTAATACCACAAAATGGTTCTGGATTTACTAACCACCATTCAAATTCCGTATCGTTACAAAAATTAGGCTTTTTTATACAGTGTGTGCTTTAAGGTTGGATACATAGGTGATTGTCCTACGACGTTTTTTCCAAATGTAATATTTGAAAAAAAATCCAATATGGATCCAACTTTATGGTACACACTGTATATATTCTAAAGAAGAACTGGATAGTAAAATAGGTGGTTTGCCTGGTTAATATCGAGAAGAAAACTGGAAATCACCAAAATTTCTTTATACAAGATCTTCATTCTAAAGTAACCGGTTTTAAATCTTCATTAGTTCCTAGAAACATGAATAGTCGACTACCTGATATATGTTTTGTTTGTCTATATAAGAACAACTTAGGAAAAAGTATTTTACAAAAATAGATTTATTGTAAAAAAAATATTAGCTAAAAATAATGTTGATATTATTTAACTGTTAATCGCTACTTAATTTATCTATATAATGGCATAATGGGACATCTGTTCCCTGCCATAATCTTATTTTAATAATAATGGGTAATAAAAATACAATTTAAATATTCGTGGAACAATATTCTTAGTGTAAAAATATAGTGGAGTAGTTCACGTCGCCATTAATTCTGTCAGTCTTTCAATTTTTTCTCAATTTATGACTAGATGCATTACTCCAGTATGTTTCTTTTTGTGCGCTCTATTACCGTGCGGTAACATAAAATGAAGATTTTTTCAACATTTATACATTTTGTCTTGTCTAATAAAATTCTAACAACTTAATACAACATACATTTTTTAATATATATAAAAACGATTACATCTCTAAGAAGTCTTTAACTGAGCAAAAATTATGTTTAATACCTATGATGCCATACAACATATGTGTAAAATATCTTATAATGTACGGATACATGGAACAACTTTGAATAAAACGTTTAAAACAATAAAAATATAATGACGTCCATTGTCGACCGAAAGGGTTAACTGCAATTTTATTTGTGATTGTCAGAATTTGTTGAATGATATTATTTGAAAAGCTTAAATAAACCTAATATATTTTATTGAACATTTATCAAATTAAAATGTATGTTACATATTTTCAATATCTAAAACGATTTAAAACTAATAATATTGGTTTATAATTAATTTATGAAATATATAAAAAGGTAAGATCTATTTTACATTCTCAGGGTCCTTTCAGACATTAAAAAAAATCAGGCTAATGCGTCAATTCCGTGTGGTTTAAATTTATACAAAATATTTTTTTATCAAATTCCTTTTATACTAAAATTATATACTGTATAATTAACAGCTTATAAGAGCAGCAAAACAAAATGTAAACTAAGACAGTACTAGGAGACCTGAACTTACATATACGCTCATCTTTTGGTATCACAATATTCACAAATTATCAAGGATATGGCAAAGATTATGGTACATGAATACAAAACTGCCCATGGTAAAGGTTTCAGTATATTTGGGCAAACATTGGACATTAAAGAAGCATACAGCTTTGGACAATATGCAAGTAGAAATCAAACTAATTAGAAGAAGCTGATAGTATTGTGAAACAGATGAGTTGATCTATGGGTAACTCTTGGTATTAAAAACGGACTCTACCACTCAACAGTAAATAACGGTGCTGCCAACAATAATATAATTATTAAATTTTAAATATAAATATCAGTTATAACAATGGATTACATAGTTTAGAGTGACTTTGGAATATCAACATATCCTAAACGCAAATGTTTATTATAAATTAAAATAAATCAAAAAATAACCGTTTATATCCAATATCGCTACATAAAATGTCATTTATCACCATGATTTTCTGATTTCCCGTGAACATAATTATATTTTCGGTTCATACTATTTCACTAAAAAAATGCTTATTAGAGAAATCAACAGTGTTAAACCCAATTTTATATAAAGATGGTTAAATAATTTATTTCAAACCCAATGTTATATAAACTATATGGTTAAATAGTTAAGTTCCTCATTCATATAATGAAATTAAATTGTTTGTCCTTTGAACCCTCATTAAATTTCAAAACAAAAATTTTGACCCTGTATATTAAAGTCATTTAAGTCTTAACTACAATTGTTTTATTATGATGTACTAACTTGATTCGTATTATTTTATTAAACAAATTGATATTTTAATATAGCTAGGGGTTCAAGACTCTTCACGATGTTTATATTATTTTATTCTATTGAAGCTACGATGTATATAATTGACTACAATACTTTAATTTGTCTGTTATTTTGAACAAATATTAATGGATTCAACCTTGAATTTGATTACATATTTAAATACCTCACCATGTTACTAAAGTTATTTCTGGTGAATTTGGTGTTATAAGAATAATATATATTTCGTTTATGGCTGAAATCAAACATCCAGCCTCGCAGATTATAAATATAATGTTGACAATCGTGTCTATTAAGTCTGGTTTTCATTAGAAAAGTTAATGCTATAGTACATTAAACTATTTTTTACTTGGAAGAGCGTCTGTTAATATCATTAGGCGAACCTGGTGGACTGTACTTTGTTCATAAATTAAACAATGAGGAACAGCACAATGTTTATTTATTCGACAATAAAATTGAGTTCACAAATTATTTATGTATTTACACGACTAACCATTGCTGCTAGTAGGAAATCAATTCTTGTGTTATTCATGATTCGTATGCAGTCTGGAAATTTGACGATTGAGAGAAGTGTGTTAAAAATTCACTTTTTAACAAGAAAAAGTAATCAACCTATAAGAGTTGTTTTGGTAACTGTCATAACGATATTATTTTTTTGTGACAGCTGTATTATGTAAAAAAACCACACCAACACCAAAAAAGAAAGCAGTAGTTGCCCTAAACTCCCCACTACTCACTAGTTGTATTTCAAATTGTATGCTGGCCAGCGAATAAATTGATTTACTACAACCAGTCACAGTTTTAATAAAATCTAAGTTAGCACCCCAAATCACAATTGAAAAGAAACTTTAGAAATTTCCTTCCGTTGTGATTCAATGAAGTTAATACGAGTGGTTGTGTAACGATAAATAAACACCGACCCCGAGGCATTTTTACTGTTAAACGTTTTATAGTGGAGTAAGGATAAGCGCCGATGTGTCGTAGGCGATGCAGACATTTGTTAGTTCTTGTGTGTGGAATGGCGTGTCCAGCATTAGTCAGCACGTGGAATTTTTTTAAAATTATTTTGTAGTTCTATTGAGTGGGAAAGAAATGTTGCAATGCCAGAAATATATAGTGGAATGGTTTGGGTCGAACTTATGCCTACGTGACATTCATCACGTTTTGCAGAAAATTTATTTAGCTTGTACTGTATCTAAACCGAGATGAGAATATTTGTAGGATTCTTACAGGAAAGCACTTTTAACTGTTTATATTATTTTTACCTACAAATACTACTTACAAAAATTCGTTTATCAGTAAATTCGGTAAATATTTTGATCTGCGCATGCTTGGATGTCAACTAATACCGTACGTAATTAGCGATATTGATGCCGACCTCTACTTTTAAAAATCAACACTTAACGCTAAAACTACTCTTTTAACTTTCGCCAACTGCGATGCTTATTGCATATAGCGCTTGCGTGGGAAGTGGTCCATCTCGTATTGGAATAACCTGTAATTCCATGTTTTAGAAACAATGTAAAAGTAATTTTTCTGTTCAATGGATTTTAATGGGTTAGTACAAATGATTGACGATTCTGTTTCTAATTGACACAATGCCGGTAGAGTATAAATCAATGGTGAAGTAAGTAATTATTAAGTACTTTACCATTTACGTTTGGTTCTTATGAGTATACTCGTCTGAATAGATGTATAATATCTATTTGGACGAGTATATGAAATATAATTAATAGGTTAGGACTCTATCGTTAATTTTACTAATGAAAACCATACTTGACTTTATGTGAGTTGAGCTATTTCTCAAATTTAGTGTTTATTTAGCATTACTTGTGTAAAAAAAAACTGCACTGATTTGACTCGTAGGCGTGTTTTTTTGGGTAGATTTGAAAGGGCTCTTAAAATTCGTAAAATAAATCTAATTATGATGGTATTCGATTTATGGAGATGGTTTTAAATTAATATAAGTCGATTAAAATTAAATATATTTGATACTATATATATAGCATTGCGTTCGTACTATAACATACTATTATTGTTATTATTATGACCAGGATCCAAAAGCTTTCATGAGCTCATATGAGCGGCACGGCAACAACAGATACGACCGTGACACAAATCGTAACACTGGAAATATGGCCAATAGAGGACACTGGGTCAACGATAGTCGACGTGGTGATGATTTCCCTAATAAAAGACGACGTTTCTAAGGCGAACAAAACATCTACAAATGTCCTCCGTATTAAAACATTCTCTGCGTTGGTTGAAATCTTTTAGAACAGTAATGTGAAGAATAACGCAATTTTTTATACTTAATTTAACGCATGAATTAATTCAAATCGGGTGCCAAACTAAAAAATTACGGTCTAAATTTTCTAAAATTGTATTAGCAGGACCATTAACTCAACCATCCAGTATATAAATATACGTCACCTCGCATCAATCGTAATTTTTTACGCCCAAATTGATGAGTGAAAAAGAAATTCTTCAGCTCGAGATTTGTTTAAAGGACTGCATAAATAGGTAGACAAATAAATATATATGTATATAAGGTACAGAAAATATAGATCATAATTTTTTTCTGTTTCACCCATTATTGTAGTTCACAACGTTGGTAAAAGGCAGCAACCACTAGCTTAGTATTCCAAATTTTGAAACATCTGCCTTTAATTCAAATTAGGTAAAATGTTTTATTTGGTATTCTTGAATAATAAATAAAGTAAATTAATTAGTTTTTGAACGTGTTTTTTTAACGAATTTAATGTTAATTATAGATTTGTGTATGTCAAAAATAGCTTACATAAAAATATGTAATAAGTACATGATGTGACATTAATTATATCTCATGAAAATACATAATAAGTAAATAAATAAACGTCTTTTTAGTGAATAACCTAGAATTTTAAAATCTCCGTGTCCATAATATATTTTTAACTAGAATTCCAAATTTTATCACCTGCAAAAAAAAACAATATTTAATAAACTTTTTTACTTACTAAATTTAGACTTTTTAGATAATAATTTGTAGTATTTTTCCAGAACCAATTCCTTGCAAGTAGAATTACAAAAAAAAAAAAAAAACAATTTTTCTATTTTATTTTAGTCCAGTTAGATTAAAAATATTTGTAATAAATAAAAAACTTGTGTTTTATTAACTAACCATTTTAATTTTAAAATGATCATAATTGATCCCACTTTAACTACAGAAAATATAATACAAGTATAGTTAGAGGAATACTTGTACAGCTATTTTGGCTTAAAATGTTATAAAATTTAAAATGAGTAGGAGAGAAATAAATGAAAAATATTTCTTGATTTATGAGAATAAATCAATTACACAAAATTTGTATGATTCTTAAATATAAAAATTAAGCAAATGTAAAAAATATACAAAGAAGCCTAAATTCGGTAAGTAAAAAGTTTTAAAAATTGAATTACTTTAGAAAAAGTTATGAAAGATTACTTTTTTGGACAAAGTAATTTTCATCATTAATAATTTGGACATAATTAAAGAATATCTAGTAAAAAATAGATCTGAGAAACAGCTGATAAAAAAAATATTTTAATATTACTAATCTTTACTTGAATTTATGATCATTTGGTTAAATGTTCTTAATATTGCATGCAATTTACAATCTTTGGTTTTGTTTATATATACAGTGAATTTGACAATCGATAGCTTAGTATAAATATACTCTAAATAAATGCAGTTATTTTATTAAAAAAAAAAGTTACCGAAATATTATTAAATTATATACCATATAAAATAATCTATGAAAATCTATTGAAGACAGAAGACAATTATCGAAAATGGAAAAGAAGTTTTAGCCAATAGGAAAGAACTGCTGGATATGAAGGAATCATGTATTGGAAAACAGCTGCAAAGGACATGAATTGTGAAGATTATGGATTTGATCAAGGAATAAATTTTCTCATCGTATATATATAAAATAATTACGCGTCATCGTTAATATAATAATACTTAATATACTAGAAAACTATAGATATTTCTAATAATAATCTACATTTTCAGTTCTGTTTATAACAAATACTGCATACATATACTATACTGCAAATTATAAAAATACTATTATATTTTTATACATAAAAAATTATTCATATTATTGACCGCTGCGATGATATATTTACTGAAAAAATTATCTTTAATACTGCTCCGATATTTATATGAAAAAATATATTCTAAACTTTATGACGTTATTTATATAATTTACGATATACTTAACACTGATATGATTATTATAATCCATAAAATAAAATATGCAAAAAGAGCTTTTGATTGTCACATACACTTGTCCATTTGATTTATAAATTCAAGTCTAGATTGTTGAAAAATACCCATTGGAGGATGACTGTAAGACTTCAGAACAAGTAAGTATGATGAACATATTTTTGCACTTTGTGTTTTCCAATTATTTCAATTTTAACACATTTGATTGACGGTTTTTGGGTGGTTTATGATTTTTAATTTTGGTGCTAACATTAATAATATCTACTATAGTGAAGTGGTGTGTATTGTCCTAAGGTAAGGTATGTCATTTATTTATTAACTTTCAGATGTAATTTAACATTTGTTTTTCAGATTTTTTCATTTATGGCTTTCAGTATAAAAAAAAGAACTCATCACTGAAAATCAACGGAAAATATTTGATATGATGCAAATCACTCAATATATTGCGAAATAGTTTATGTGAAAACTAAATTGATTAGCTTGAAGAAAGCAATACTAAAATCACAGAAAATAAACAAATGAGAGACAAAAACCATAAGGTATAACTGTACAAAAAGTATTTGAGCGACAAGAGAGGTATACAATGTAAGGCTGTGAAGTCAAGGGTGGACAAAAAAGAATAAACCGAAAAAAGGAATCGAATAATATATTCGCGCCTCAGAAAACCATCTAATTCATGATAGGAATTCAATTTTCTTTGTACACCTTTTTATTTTGGACCTTAGTTATGGATATAATGGGCCTTGTAGACTAGCTGAAGAAGGAACGTCAACGTGGTACAAGCAATGACCTTTGGAATAAAATAAAGTGTAGTGTTTTATTTCTTCAACTATAAAGTGTTTATTTTAAATATCACAATAAAAAATATCTAAATAAAATAAGAATATTGTAGAATTCTTTATCATGTTTATAAATAAATTGTTTAGAAATAACTAGTGTTTGAATTTGATGTAATAATTAATGGTTATCTATTTTTGGTCGAACTTCCGTAGGTTTATACCGGATGACCTATAATTTTTCTTTAAAGTTTGGCAATGGATTTCTGATTTCTGACAAGTAAATTTGATTTTTTTTACAAATTTTTTGAAAGTTTTTACACTTTATACTCATATTTCCAGAAATATATTCGTATTTTTTTTAAACTATTGCATAGCTTTTATCGCGGGCTTTGAGCGCGGCGACCGAATCAAGAAATTCCGTAACGAAAATAAACCTAACACCCCCCACTCCGACCGCCACAGCGGTGCGGCGAAATACCTACATGTATTGTAAGATAATAAAAATATTTTAAACAATATTAACTTCTCATTTATTCAATAAAATAAAATCGAAAAAGAAATTCCGTAACGAAAATAGACCTAACACCCCCACTTTGACCGGCACAACGGTGCGGCGTTGAAAGCTGTGCATCGTCTAACGTCGTTTCAGTTCGGCAGACTTCGGCACGGTGTTTGTGTGCGTGTAGACTAGCTGCTAACTGCTCATAACTGATTCTATCTCTTTTAGACACAATTTCGGAAAAATTGAATTTGAAAATGAATAATGATTCACAAGAATCCAGAACAAAATATGGCACCACCATTGACGCGGTATTTTCCAGATATTTAGAGCATATCAAGTCTCAAACTTATGTTTCTTATTTCAGTTACCATAAACCTATAGTTTCATAGATAAAAATTCCTGAATAACTTACATGTATTGTAAGATAATAAAAATATTTTAAACAATATTAACTTCTCATTTATTCAATAAAAGAAAAAAAATTGTTTTCTTATCGGTCACCACGCTCAAAAAGTGTAACTTGAATTAATATCAAAGAAAAAACTTGAATTAATATCAAAGAAAAAAAAATAATTATAATTGCATAAGTTGATAAAAAATGCTATGCAATAGCTTTACCGCGGCAGTCCCCGAGTGCCACACGTTTTGTTTTTTTTTTTTATCTAAAATTGTTCAAGAGCTATTATGCTATTTATAAATATTGGTAATGAGTATCTCTCTTTTGATTTTAAAATAAATTAAATCACAATAGAGATTTACAACCGTACATCTGAATTTTATTAAATTCTCTAATATATTGAGTTTATAACCGCTCCTCTTATGTTTGCGCCGAAACAGTATGACCATTGCTCCATTGCCAACCTTTAAAAAAAAGTCACAATCAGTCAGTCCAGTATTCGAAATTCAATTTTGTTATTTGCAGATAGTTCTTCTTTGTTATGTATTTTAAGAATTTTTGGTTTACTTGCCTACCGGATATTTATTCTTCATAACGGTTGTCAAGTGTAGTATTTCTTCATAATACCTCTGGTTTTTTCCTATATTTTTTATTTGCAAGTTTTCAGTGTAATTTTGTTAAGTAATTGTATCTTCTGGAAGCCTTAGTTTTTAGGTACCTATGTTCTTCTCTCAGTTGGTGGTTTGTGGGGTTGACTAACTTTATTCTGAGGTTTGGATAGTTTTAAGATCTGTATGTATCGTAAGTCTATTTATAAAGAAGAAAAATATATTAGAATTGTTTGATAACTACGGTTGTTGCATCAAGTTGGCATAATACTCGCCATTTATTGTTATTCCCTTTTGTACATTGTTTTTTACTTTTTAGATCAGGATAATTTCATGTGAATCCCAAAACACAGTTGCCATAACCTTTCCTGCTGACAAAAACGGTTTTTGCCTTCTTCTTTTACTATTCTTTGGTTTTGGGAGTTAAATGGTGGACCCAGATTTTATCGACGGTTATGAAACAGCGCAAAAAGTCCGGATTGTGTTGAAATATCTCAAACGATGCAGTTTTTGTTCTAGTGTGAGCAATCGTGGCACCAAACGCGCCGTGTATTTTAAAATTATCTACACAGTCATTTTAGATACCCACTATAGGCATTTCTTTATAACATACTTGGCAACAGTATTGTGTGGTTAATCTGGTGATGTCATATGTACCGGGATATCGTCATATATGTCAAATTTCTCCAAGTATTTGTTTTCACCTTTGGCGATCTCTAATGGACTTAATAATTGGTAGGAAGATTTAAGATTTGTTTCCGAATTTTCAAATTATTCAGCCACTTATTTCAGATATTTCTTTGAGATTTCACGATAAAATAAATTCACAATTAAAAAAAATGTAAATTATGGAAAACGCTTAAAAGTCGAGAAACATTTGGTGGTCACCTTGAGAATTTTCAAGAAAATAATTTTATTGTTTTTACAGATACTTTCCCCTAACTTTAATACGCTTATTTATTCTAACCTTTTCCTAAAGAGTGAAACTGAACTCTTAGAAAGTTTACAATTTTTAAAATGATTGTATTTACTTTACTACAAAGTGGATTTTAATTGAAATATACCTCTTATATTTGAAGTTACCAATGAAAGATTTGATAAATCAATTATTAACAATCGTTATGGTTACTGAAAGTACAGTTCTGAATGACATGTAAGACATCTTGGAAGTTAAAATTAATGCAATGGCTGTCCAGATGTAAACAGAATTGAAGAATGGATGTGTGGACATTATAAATCGGCAAATTGGTTAGATATAATAATACTCTCCCTAATTTACCCCCTTACTAATGAATTTCAACCCCTGGAGCCGACTGAGCTTGTGTGGGGAAGGGACGTCTATTATTATTTGCCGTGGCGTTCCGGGGCGACTTAAAGAT